CCACTGTTATGCGTTTTTGCATATATGTAAATGCAAAAACCCATATTGTAACGTCCCGGTGTAGGTGTGTGTGTTCGTCTGTCTAGGTATTTTCACTCGGCAACGAAGCAATTTCCGGCGCCAAAATTTTACAAGCGGGTTCCTCAACCAAGTGTCACCCGAGGACCGCGGCACCGTTTGGCGGGAGAACCACTAACTCAGAGACCAGATAAGCTGGAAGGCTGAAAATGTCAGGGGATGTTCCTCGTCCACGTAGAACTCAAAGATTTTAACTTCAGCCCCCAGGCGTGCATGGTTCCCACGTGTGGTCCCGTGAAAATTTTTGGCTGGAAAATCGCTAACTCAGGAGGAACGAAAGCCGGAAAGCTGAAATTTTAACAGGATTTCTTCTTTTCAAGTACCACGTGATAGTTGTACAATTAACTTCTTGAACTTCGAGGATACTATGTCATAAATTCTAGTTATTGTGATTCCAAACGATCTTACTACAGCATGAAATACTGCAAAAATGCATGTTCGCAGAGGCCCGCTTGGTGCGCATCACCAGTGATTTTTGATTTAAATTATTGGGGCACACATGCATCAGCACAGACAAAGATATCTGCAGTTATGGTCGCAATACTTTTTTATAAAAATCGCTTGTGCGAAATCGCACAGAATGCACAATTATGGCAGTTTACACGATTACTTCATTTTATTACAAAGAAAAAATTCAGGAACAGTGCGTGTGTCGAAGTGGCTATCATGGAGATGGCGTAAGTTGCACAGTCCACATTGGCGACCAGCGTGAAGACTCTACGTTTGACATTGACAGCGGTATGGCTCTTTCATATACAAAATCAATTATCTTCAAAAATAAAGTTAAAATCAGTGATTTTGGTGCAACCATACATTAAATCCGTGTGCCCGTTTATTCGTTTCCTGTTCTTCTAACCTTCCACTTGAATGGGCCTACCTGCACGCCCTAAATATATATTTGAAAAAAAGAAAAAAAAAACTGAGGAGCTGTTCTAGCTGTACAGATCTATTTGGAGCGAGACTGCTGTTTGTTGGATTTATCATTATTCAGTTTTGCAAAATATTAGGGAATTTATCCGAAGAAAGTTCAGGTTCATGTATAAATTAACCATATCGGTTTTTTTTCAGAACTGATGCTCTTTCACTGTTTTTTTTTTGAAGAGAAAGTGGAGCGCCTATTTATGTTGACACTGTTTCCGAGCACTGTTTGTGAAGCTGATACTGTAACTATCACGTAAATAAATTCGAGTATCTAGCCAGACGACCAAAGAAGGAGGGGATTTGCAGGAAAGATCTGTCGTTCGCATGAGGAATGTGGAGAACATGGCAATTGCGTGTACAGCAATGAGCTTGGAGCGTACCGTTGCGTCTGTGTGCCGCCATATAGCGGTGATGGAGTGACTTGTATCGAGTCGCAAGCAGTTAGTAGTAAGTCCAGAATTATCAAAAACAACCTTTTTTTACGCACAATAGTAGGAAACACGGAGAAAGGATGGTAAAAATAATAGTTGTCAATAATAATGACAATAATGACGATGATAATAATAACAGCAATAATGGTAACAATACTTCTGATGGCTCTTATTATAACAGTAATTGTAATAATTTGCGGACTGTTGAGTCACGTGTTAGAGTATGAAAATCCAGTCTGTAAAACCTAACTTGGCGCAAAAATACAGCGTTTTAAAGCAAATGCATTTGTTAAGTTATTCATCAGAATACAATAATACTGCTACACTGTTATCAGGGTGGGTTTTTATAGTTCCAGACATGTGATTCTGAAGTTCGCTAGCTTTTTGGCAGCTATTTGACGCGCATTTATATCATGTGTTTTTGTACTGTAACGTTTGTCGTGGTACTTTAATGATGCACGTGACGTGCTGTCCTTTTCTTTCCGCTGCTTTCAAGCAAGCTATGTAAACTGACTTCGTATTCGATAACTTTTAACAAGAGAATGGTGCTGCTCTATTTAAGCAATAATAGTCTTTTTCCGAAAAGACTGAAGTTAGTTTTGCTTCTTTTTAACAACATTCAGTCAGAACTGCTTTCGTCACGTGTTAACGGATTCTTATAAAAGAAATACTGACAGTTCCTGAAAAAATTACTGACGTAAAAATTATGAATTTTCTGAGCAAACATACCTTGGAACTGATAACTGAAAAAAAAATTGATAAGAAAATGCTTTTAGCGATATTTTCATATCTGTATGCGGTGTGTTTCTTAAAAAAGGCGGTCTTTGCTATGCTACAGCCTCAAACCATCTTCGGCTTATCAAATAATGTTTGGAAAAAGATACAGGTAAACTACAAGAACCGAAAAAACGCTCGTTGACAACCCGGCCATTTTATGACCGCTGGTCATTGCAGTATACCGGCCTTATTTAAGTCGTGCTTTAGTCTCCCTTAAGGATTGACCAACTTTGAGATTTCGGTTATAAATAAATTTGCAAATGAAGATTTTTCTCGATACTGCTGATATTTTTCGAAGCTGCATGTATGGTTTTCCTGTGCCCGCAAACCCTTTGATCACTGCCGCCTGTTCCTTCTGTCCTTATTGCTTATTGCTTCGCCACTTCAAAGACTGTTCCAGATTCTAGTGATGAAATGAGTACTGAGCAGCAGCAGCAACAGCAACAGGTGCCATGCAATGTGGTAAATAATTGTGATACCAACGGGGATTGCATTTTTGAGAAGAATGACCGTGGTGACAGTGTGTACCGTTGTCGCTGTCGGCCTGGATTCTCGGGAGACGGCTATCGATGTGCAATGACATCGCTGGATAACCTTCCTGCATGTATGCTTCTTTGCTTGCTTGCTTGCTTGCTTACAGCTTGCTATTCAAGCTTTCTGCTAAAAATCTCCATTGAATTTTGCAATTGTCAAGATGCTTCGTATTGTTGCCGTCTTCTAATTTTCGCAAAAGCTTTGAAACTAGCAGCAAGAAACGTGATTCTGCTGATTTGCTAGAATCAAGTGATTATCGAATGGAAGTTAGGGGTTCTTTGGTCACTCATCCAGACACGATGTGCTAAAATTCTATTGGGCTTGAGTGGTGATTAAAGTGGTGGTAGGCGGTAAGGTGATGCGTGTGGCGGAAGTCCATCATATAGAAGTTTGTGCCCATGCTTTTGCTGTACCTCAGCATATCTTCGTTGCTTCCACGTTTACCCTTCGAGCAGCTTTTCAGCACGTCATTGCTGTCTAGACAGGTTGATCTCAGCAAAACTCTTGTTTTGTGCAGTCAGATGGTGAGGCTTCGAAGCAGAACGTTTCTAAGGACTCACAATTTTTATGCTTTATAAAAACCAAATAATGGGCTGATCGTGCTCACCGATTTATTCGTCTGCCAGCCGTGTGCCGACTGCCTTTAGCTACATAACCAATCCAAACGACATTTGGAGATTGTTGGGCGAAGATTTTTGGAACGAAGGGCGCTTGGAGCACTCTGCGACCATATAAACAGTCAGATTCTCCTCAGTTATGCGGCTTACAGGATATCATTATGACCATACGAGAAAGTAAAATCCGATGAGCAGTTCATGTTTCGCGCCTTGCCGACAACTGGTGGTGGATGAGCATTAGTGTGTGGTATTCTCGAGAAAGTAAACGACCCCTCGGACGACCTCCGGAGAGGCAGAGCAAATACATTGAACAGGCGGTGGATACTAACTGGAGGCATGCAGCACGGGACGGAAATGTCTGGCATAGCTGCATTCGGCATGTCGGAGCATCCTAGTAACATGAAATTGCTGCACTGGTAGTTCGAACTGTCTAGGTATTCTTGGTAATTATAGTTATTATAACATGAAATTGCTACACGCTGCTCTATGCTCTGTTTACGTAAGCATGGAGATTTCACGATTGGGACTGCCCAAATGAAATCGGCTGTTCGCAGCAAAATGTAATGAATGTGCTTGTGTTTGCATGCAATACTTCTGTTGCTTAGTTTTGCTTCTGCAAGGGCACCATAGTTACCCTACAAAGTGGAACGCAAGAAAAGCTTGATACTCAACAGCCGCTCTGGCGCCTCGATTCCTTTCTTTCTACTGACCAGCAGCATATGCAAAACAAAAATCCTTGCATTTCAGGCACGTCTCCAGTTTAAAAATAGCTAACCTGGAACTACTTTAGAGACCCGTTCTGTAATTTTCACTTGCTCTAAGTCAAAGTTCGGCAGAGTGGGCAAACAGAAAGCAAAAGTTCATTATCTCGTAACAGAGTTGCTTGTGGCGCAAGTGCAGCTGTTGTATTAGTTTTATCTCTCATCTTGCGTGATTGAAACTGGGCATAAAATCACTACTTATTTGGTAGCATAAAAAGAGAAATTTCTTTCCCAGTTCTTATAGCACTCAAGAAATGGGATAAATTTTGGCCATCTTACATGACAATTACTCTACGGACTGATGAGGGCGTTCTACTAGAGATACAGCAATTACGGTGAATGTATAGTTCTTGGTTAACTTGTTTCTGGGCTCTGCCACTTTAAATCGGGAAAGGGGAATTTTTTTAGACGCAGTACTAGGATGTGATCAGCTGGGTAACTGTGATCGGAATGCGGAATGTGTACGGGACGCGTACTCGGATGGTTATTTCTGCCGATGCTTGGATGGTTTTGAAGGCGATGGTTATAGCTGTAAGCCAGTTGAGAAGCAGCTGAATCTGCCAATATTACCACCCGGTATCGCATTTTTTTTGTGCTCCACTGTCGCCGTATTAACACTGTTTGGATTTGGTAGCAAAAAAACCGTTCCTCAAAGAAGCACGTTCGCTTTCGGTAGAAGTGCAATAAACCGTAAATAAAACTCTGGCAGTTTTTGATAAAACAGTATGTATCAGTTCACAGCGATGTGAGGGTGGAAAAAGTGAATGGGGATGAAAGCTGTAATTTCCGCCAGTCCTGTAAAATCATTCTTGTACGTCGAAGATTGTTCACGGTAGGGCATTGTTATCACTAGCACATAATTTCACGTCAGTCATACCGACGTTAGCTAAAGGTAGTG